GTAGTAGTATTTTCTTTTTTTTTTTTTTTTGTCTTTAAAAACTCAGAAGCTGATCAAATATCGGGTTAAATATCGGTGGGGTGGCCGATGTCCGATATTCAGTTTTAAGGCCGATACCGATAGGGGGCCGATTATATCGTGCATCCCTAGTTCAGATCATCATCTCTACAGCCATGCAGTTGACAAACTAAACTTTGCCTGGATGTGAGTTTAAAAAAAGGACAAAAATGACAACCAACTAAACAAAATTATAAGATTTAAGCCACAAACAAAACAGAGGTTTTTTTTTGTGCACTAACAATGGTATATTCTGTTTAGGATCATACTGGCTGATATTATCTGCTTGGTATATTAGAATGAGACCGCTCAACAATCAGTCATGACTGATCCTTCCTCTACCTGTTTTTCATCCGGCGGCGCTCCCTCTTCTTTAAGTCATCCTCTAAAGGCGTCTGAGAGCCATTGCCCTGAAACCCAGGCTCAGAGGTGGGAATGCGCAGATCACCTACACCCATTTCCGAAGGAGCATCGCCTGGGAGGAGGCAGAATAAATATGTAAGGCTAATCTACTACCTGCAAGTGATGTACAGTAAAATAATTAATAGATAAATATTCCAAAAAAGTTAAGAAACAATCCACTGGACTTTGTTTTGAAGTTTGAAGATGTTTTGCTTCCCATCCAGGAAGCTTTTTTAATTCAAAGTCAACAGATAAATACAGTGAAAGACAAATGTTAAAATCCTTAAGAAATCTCTTAAAAATATGCAAATATCATTTCCTCCTCTATGTTTTAATTACAGCACTTTGATCTTAATTACGTTTGCTATCAGTGACAGAGGTGGTGCTGCATAGTTCTGCCTCCAATGCATCAGTGTAGTAAACGTTTTCATGTTTAAAATCAATTTCAGTCACTTTAAAGTCAATGAAAAAGCCAAAAGTAGCTTAAAGCGCACAGGAGATGAAAACCCAACTCAGTTATAATGCAGAAGAATTTCAACCAATCGGAATTCAGCATCCCACCACAAAGCTCCGCCCCTCAAACTTCAGGGTAACAAGTGGCCTCTGAGAACAACCCTGTTTGAGAATTCCTGAAGAAAAACAGGAGCTAATTGTGTCTGTGAGCAAATTTTCCAAAGTTGGCACGGTCATATATGTTTATTCGCTTGGGGATTTAAAATTTGATTTGGTACAGAGAGTTTGATTTCAATTTCACCTTTTATTTTTAATGTAGTTCTAATTAACTATTCTCAATGTAAATAGAAACATAACATTATTAGTTTACCTTAGATTTGGTGAGAAGCATTTGACAATTATGGCATAATTATCACAATACTGCAACAATGTAAGAAAAACCATCTTACTGTTGCTGAATTTAGAAAATCATGGAATAGGAACTTTATATTTTCTCAGTTAAAGAAAAAAACCTACAGGGCTCTTATACTGTACCACACTCTTTTCTACTCTTTAGCCAGGGATTCCTTCCCTAATTATTCAATCAGCTGTATACGTAGCAGTTGGGCTTTTCTCCAAGTCCTCCAATTAACAGGAAGTGTTATACATACAGGATGTGTTTATCTCATTTTCTTTAAGTTTTCATAAAAGGAAAAGTGAGAAAAAAAACAAGCAGACTGATGACTGATGTCGATAATGTTCCAAGCATACACAAAGCCACAGATATTTAAGGTAACATTAGTAAAGAGTATTAATCCAGATTATATTCCGTAACTGTTTGGTCCCTATCAGAGTTCCTCATTTAATTCATAGTGCAAAACTCTGCTGATTAATTCAGCCATATGTGATGCTTGAATAAAGTGAGCTGTATCTCTAATCATTGTGTGGTCGGTGACCGACGTCAGGGTACATCTCATTGGCTACTTCACATTTACATGTTGCTGCTGGGGATCCGTTCCAGGAAAAACAGTGACGTCAGCCTACTGCTGCTATGTGAGCGAGTGAGTGAGCGAGTGAGTGAGCAAGCGGTGCTCTGAGTCACTTTACAGCTGACGGGAGAGAAAACCATAGAGAGATAGGGCTGATTTTTATCGATATAACCCTGCTTTATTCCAGCATGCTCAATGTTCCAGTTAAATATTCCACATGACTTATTATTAGTAAGTATTCTCTAGACCAGGGGTCACCAGCTTTTTTAGGCTGAGGGCTACTTTATGGGTACTGAGTCATAGGACGGGCTACCAATACTGACCTATGAACTAGAGGAGTCGGCGTTCACCTGAACTTCATAGATAATAAACATATTTCTATTGCTTCTTTTCATTTTTAATTTGCTTTTAGATATTCTCATTATGAAATCCATTAAAATCCTCAAACGTTCTAATTTATTGATATGATAAAATGCTTCAAAATAAGAACTTCAGTAAAAAATAACATTTCAGATTTAGTCCACTGGTGAATTGTTGATGCTGAGGGCACCCCATGTTGTCCTTGAGGGCCCCTTGGTGCCCACGGGCACCACGTTGATGACCCCTGCTTTAGACGTTAAGGAGTTTTCTGCACCTAAATCAGGAAGTATTCTGAAGAAAATCCAGATTTTAAGTTTACTAAAGGAAAAAAAAAATCAAATATATAGTTCAAAGCACAACTGTCTGCCTCACTGCAAGAGTAAATAATTTCATTTGTCGACATTTAATATCAACAGGTTTAAAAAGTGCTGTTCCTATAAGTTCCAATGTAAAACATGCAGCCGTACCTGCTTCTCTCTCATCACCAGTTACAGCCATGCTGCATCCAATTCCTGGTCCCTCAGAAGAACCTGTCTTCATCGGAGTCTTCCTCTCCACTGACATGTCCCCAAGACCAACTGTGAGGTTAAGCATGCAGTTTACAATTAGAGGCATTGACATCACCATGACATCACCCACCCAACAGTATGGTTTGTTCTCTCCCCCGACACAGAGCTATGAGTCAGACTGTGTTTGTGTTTCCTCAGCTTGAGCCTGTGAATGATGCTGCTTTTTAAGCCCAGGCTGGGATTACTCAGAGTGCTGTGAAATAAAGCCTTTCTTCAAAACTTACAACCAGCACTGGAAGTAACCATTTAAAACAGAAGACCCCAAACTTGGCGGTATGGAGCGGGGACCCCCTAATTATATATATTGTGTTATATCAAACTGGTTGCTATAGTGACTCTATTACAGATGGAGTCATGCAATGAAAGTAATTTCGCCCTGGGATTATTAAAGTATTTCTGATTTCTCTTTAAAGGGACAGGTGTTGTGAATAAAACGGTGCCCAGCTTGAAAGAGCTCCTGTGTGTCGCTGAATGTGTGCATTGATGACTGAAAGACATCTTCTGCCTCCATTTATCTGTTTACTAGTGTGTTGAATTCATGTTAATGTGTATTTAAAGACATTTTAATGAGTGGAAAAAATTGCAGAGGGGAATATATATAAAAAAAGTCTAATCAACCAAAACTTTCGTGACCCACATGCAATACCTCCATGGACCCACTAAGGGTCGCAGACATCCGATTAAAAAACTTCCTGTTAAATTCAACAGAAGGAGGAATCTCCTGTTAATCAATCATCTGACTTAACCCTGTAATGCCAAATGTATCATATTTGATACATACGGTTTCTGAAATGTTTTGCTTCTGACACCTTTTGCATAATTTAATGGTAAAAACTTTGCTCAAAATCCTATTGTACACAATCAGATATACCTGATAACAGAGGGCAGAAGACTACACAAAAAATAATATTGACTTATCGCATAATAAATTATTAATATCAAAAATGTATTTCTGTTTTTTCTTTTTACATATTTTGTTAAAAGGCCAAATAAGGACTTCAAACCAAAAAAAAAGTAATTTTCTGTTTTGTTTTATTCTTGGATCGGGCTTTAAAGGGATAATCCTGAACAGAAAACTGATTGATTTACTCAAACATTTCACAATGAATAGGTTTTCACTTTTTTTTTTGTCTATAGGAGTAAAAACACTCTAAGCAATTCCAGCACCTTTCCTTCATATTCACTGCTAAAGGAGTGATTGCAGGTGTACATGTTAAAGCATCATACTGCCATAAAAGAACACTAAATCCATCTTTGGGTACCTTGTTATTATATTAGAAAAATTTTAATTGTGGGGGTTCAACTATATAACTACAGTAAGCTTTTTTTGTCTGCGGGAAGCCCCGTTGAGAAATAACAACAAAATCCCCATTAGCAGAATTACAACAAAACCTTTCAAAGAAATCTCACTGCAACGTTTTCTTTTCATTTTTATCAGGCTTTTAAAGATGATCCTAGTTTTTGGGAAGTACAAAAAACAACTTAAATTCCCTCAGCCACTGATTAGTAGGCTGAACGAGGACACAGGTTAATCTTGAAGCATAGAGAGGAGGAATGTAAGGATCACAGAACTGGAGAAGCAGGTAAGGGTGGAATCCTGGGACCAATGGGTTTCCATGACAACTACGAGATGTTGTTCTGATAAAAACTAGGTGTTTGCAAGTGATATAAAAAAAAAAAAAGTGCTTTCTGGTATTCTCTTAGAAACACAAACATTCAGTAATGGGACACAAGTTTAGTGAAATTCATGGAGGTATATGCTTTGCTTAGACCAGGTTGGTTTTAAGGCTTTTTTAACAGCAGAATCTACAGGAGGGATTGGTATTAAAGAAAAACAAATGTGACCGGGACCTCACAGCCGCTCTTAAGCAGGCGGGAGATTTCAAACCTCATCAAAAGAATGGGAACGAGGCAGCTATGAATTACAAACAATAAACTGGCAATTGTTCATTTAGCAGCAGATCATGGAAGAAAAATGGCCACAATTTCTGATTTTAATCTGAAAGTTCTGACTTCATTCTCAGATTTCTGGATTTAATCTCAAAATTCTGACTTTATTCTCAGAATTTTGGATTTGATCCAAGAATTATATTCACAGAATACTTGCAATATTCCTACTATGTCGAAGTGATAACCCGACTTTTGGCAATAATTTGGCAGTAATTTGACTTTAAATTTTGAAAATTAAGATTCAGACTTCTAAGATTAAAGTCAGAATTTTTTTGTTTTTTTAAAGGCCCTATTCCTCTTCTGTAACATTATGATCCTAAGACTTTGTAGTCTTTTAAAGAAATGAATACTTCCCCAAATTTGACACAAAATCAATGTTTTTTTTTTACCATCATAGAATCTCTAAATATAACAGAAAATCTGAACAAATTCCTATATGGAACACTTTCCTATGTGTGTCAGACCCATGATTTTTATTTAACCTGATAACAGAGCAATGCTGAGCAACGTTGGGACCTTTAGGAAGACGATGTAGGGAAACCCTGCTTTCATTTCTACATTTAGGCAACTACACTGCAAAAAATCTAAACCTACATAAGTCATTTTCTTCTTAAAATAAGTGCATTTGTTCTTGAATTGAGGAGACAAAAGAGACATTTTGCCAATAGAACAAGACAATTTACACTTAAAATAAGAAATCTTAATTGCATTGTCTTATTTCAAGTACATATTATCTAATTATCTTACTGTAAGAGTAAAATTACTCATTCCATTGGCAAACTATCTCATTTACCTGGTCAAATTAAGGGTAAATACACTTAATTTAAGAATTTTTTACTTATTTCTAGATCATTTTTGCAGTGTAAAAATAAATAAAGGAGAAAACCACTGTTGCCTTGTGGTGAGATGGTCCAGGGCATGTTCTGTTTGGACCCTGCGGCCTTCTGCATCTCATAAGCTGGTGTCCACAGTCTGAGACCATGTATGTCAGGATTTTTCTGAATTAGTTTGCCTTAGTTCTTGTCCTGTGTGTTTATTTTTCCCTGTGACTGATCAGTGATCCCCTTACCGTTCGCAGTAGCAGTAGAACTGTTTGGTAGAGGTAATACATCGGTGCAATATGCCATCTGCTGTGTATTCTGTCGTACTTGGATGCTTGGTTCAGGCCGGGTTGGATAAGGTGCTCGGTTCACCTGGGCAGGAACATCTTAACAGAAGATCCAAATAAAGTGGCTTTCAGGCTGAGAGTATAAAGAAGATAACTGGACGGTTTTAGTTCTCAGAAACCTTTCTTTTGCAAATGTTTTCATCTCCTTGTTGTTGATTTATTACTAAAATGAATCCTTAAAGGTGCTGTAGGAGATCTTGGAAAAATGGTTCCAGCAAGCTATATTCTTGAACATACACAGTCATTTCTCTCCCTTCAGAGCACCTCTCAAAACCACGCCTTGAAAGCAGTCTAGAGCAGCAGAAGCAGCACTGATGATGCAGAGCGCTATGATCCCTTCTGTGAAACAGTTTACTAACGCCTAAATTAACTTAAAATTTCGAAAACCGCCGGCAAAACATGTTGGCTTTTATTATCCTGGTGCCTGCAGCCAGTCTTCCACCTTCCAGCCGCCGCAGCAAACCGCAAGGAGGCGACCGGGCCAGAGGCTGCTGTTGAATGGGATTCCTAATGACCGCCAGTATACGGTGGTCTGAGCGGCTTCAACAGAAACAATATTTGAAGGCAGGACGGTAATCTGGATGAACTGACTGCACTGACCATGTTTTCAGGTAGACTTTCTCACTTCAAAATAGATTCAAACTACTTTTTACCCACTGATCACAGCAAATATAGCTGCCAAAGCACATCAGACTCACTTTTTCCACCAGAGCAGCAAAGATAAGGTGACCAGATGTCCTCTTTTTTTTTTCCCGTACATGTCCTACTTTTCAGACCTAAAAAAAGGTCTGAGGGGAATTTCAAAATCGTCCAGGATTTTTGGTCAACTGCAGTGCAGCACGTATTTGAAACAGGGAGCCAGCGGAGGACGGAGCAAACGAACCTGACCCGGTAACGATAGCCTAGCCTGGACACCTGCGTCCTCGTGCTACCCCTCGCCTGCCTTACCCCCCCTCTTCCAGCTGAGAACGGTCGGCTCATGGCTCTCTGCCGAGGTGCGGTCCAGTCAGCGGCCCAGCAGTGGCATCAGAACTAAACTTGTACAAGCATCAAAAATGAAACAGTACGCCCCTTTTTGCTGCACCAGCTGCTTTAGGTGTGAACGTAGCATAGCAGTGGCTAGCTTCTAGCTATGGCGTCCTGCAGGAGCATTGGGGGTCGATTTGTTCATGTGTCAGGGTACGTGCACAGGTGGGAGGGACAAGCAGATGACCATGATTGACGTGTCAAGGAACCAATCGTGCACAACAGACCATCTTTTGTGATTGGTTGGGGTTATTCATTGATTTCTCACTGTGGCGGGGACCATTTATTTTAGTTTCACTTCCAGACCTTCTACTTCTCTGCTTGCTAAGCGGCTGTGGGGAGATCTTTAAGCCACGTGGTAAAAAATGTGTCATAAAGATCACCTACTGCACCTTTAAATGATCAAAAAGGTGTTGTAAGACCACTCCAACGCAACTTCCCTTTCAAAGTTTATAGATATTCTGCATCAATATATGCACAAAGATTAAAATGAGGTAATACCTGGCACTAAAATCCAAGATCCATGCTGCCAGATGTGACCGCATGAACAGTAACACATGGACGACCAAGGTGGGTTTGGAATCACGTCAATGACAGGGGCTGCCAAAAAAACTGAATAATTAATCCAGAATCAGCATGTTTATCACTCTGACTTTTTTTAAATTATCCATAGCTCTATACAAATGAATGTTAAGAACTGTTAGAGATGTTTCAGACATGCTTACTGTATTGAGCTCCAGACATTTTTTGGATAAAGTCAGCGTTACCCTCTGTCTGAAACTGGTGCTTTCTGACGATTCGCTGAGCCTGTAAGAAAAAACCGGTGGCACTGAAAGTTAATAAGTGGACAAAGTCTCAGGCTCCGAATCTATATTCTATCTCTGTTCTTAAACTTCATTTTAACAAATTCTACTAAATATATAACCTGACAAAATAAATAGGGATGCACGATATTGGGATTTTGGCCGATATCCGATATGCCGATATTTTAAAACTCATGTAGCCGATAACCGATACCGATACCGATGTTAAAGCTGGACAAAAATAAGTAAGCATTGAAAATAGCAGTTTTGTTATCCATTTCTGACACTTTGAAAAATAATATACTCAAATATATTTTCATATGCTGATATCAAATTGATTTTTAAAAACGCGGTATCGATCTATTTTACTTTCAAAATCTCGTGAAATTTCATCGTTCTGTTACAAACTCGTGATATTTTGCAAATTCTTGTGAGATTTTGTTAGTAAAATAGATCGATACCGCGTCAATATATCAACATATAAAAATATGGCAAAGTTTCGTGAATTTTCGGGGGATTTCGTAGCATAAGGATGACATATAGCAATATTTCATTAGTAAAAGAGATTGATATGGTGTTTTTAAATGGCAATATATCAGCATATGAAGATATTGGGATATTTTAATGTATCAATATTTTTTCCCTCGTCTTTAGAAGTTTTTAAGTCTGTAAAAAAGAAGTTTTGAGGAAGAAGAAGTAGTATTTTTTTTTTTTTTAGACTTTAGAAACTCAGAAGCTGATCAAATATCGGGTTAAATATCGGTGGGGTGGCCGATGTCCGATATTCAGTTTTAAGGCCGATACCGATAGGGGGCCGATTATATCGTGCATCCCTAAAAATAAACGTAAAAGATTACTTGTGGGGAAAAAAAATGGTTAAGCATTTTTGTCCAGTAACAAACACTTTCCCCAAAAACACAGATTTTTGCACAACATCTGAGAGAAAGGCTGAATATTTGGAGGAAGTGGGGTAGAACATTTACAGAGTAATTAATGTAGAAGCTGGCGCTTGAGAAAAAGTTACGTTTTGTTTATTGGCCATATTGGTGCAACTTCTCTGGTCATCTATGCCGGGCTGATGAGGTTTCTGACTTATTTATCTAACCTTAACTCTACATTTTTTTTTACTTCCTGATAGAAGGACCAAATGTAATTAGTTGCTAAAATGTTCTTGAATTTGAGTTTTTAATGTAAATTCCAGTGTTGTTAAAAAAAAACTACTTTACAAATTGAAGGCTTGTTTGCTTCCTACTACAATTCTAAAATATCATCGAAAACGAAATCGAAAAGGGGAAAAAAAGTGAATTAAAAAAAAGGAACTATATTCTACTTCTCAATAAAAAAAAAACATAGTTGTCGAACGAATGCAGGTTTACCAAATTCAAACAGCCGTTCACAGGGCTGCCAACTGTTCACCAAACTTTGGAGTGAGATTTTGAAATAGTTTGGATAGGCCACCCTTCTCAGGGTTAGATTGAAAGGCTGTGAGGATAGGTGCAGCTATCGGTTGGCGGTTTTCAGAGGATTTAACTGAAACAAAGTGGCAAAAGGTTGAATTTTTAAAGAACAGTAAATGTTACTGAATAACAATAAGTTATCTGTAGTTATGTGCAACATTTAACACACAAAAAAAAATATATATATATATATACATTCTTTTTGATATTCTGGGGATTTTTTAGAGAACTGAAGTAAAGAAGTACGGGCCCTACTAAAATAATTGCATCTTAAATATACTGTAAATTAAGAATTTTACAACTGTGTTTATTAATTACTCTATGCAGTTCAAGTAAAAATAAACAATGGGGAACTAATAGGCAATCACTGGATTACTGGCACTAATACAGGAACCAGTGCAATCAAATCCCGTGCAAACTACTTTGTATAAGAATACTTCGTAATAGGCTGAGGATTAAAAAATCTTAACTCCTCATTTTATTAGTTTTCCTTACAAGTGACAAAACAGCCAAACAATTCAGAGCTTCTAGGAGGCTGTAGATGGCGGCAACAAGCGATTATTTTGCAAATAGACTAACCTGTCGATTATTTTTTCAATTAATCGATTAATAATTGGATAGCCAAAGGTTCCTTAAAAAAAGATTTTTTGTTTACGACACAAAGTGAAGGTAAATCTTTTCCACTTGGGGAGTATAGAACATAATGTATTCTGAGAAAAGGGTCAGAATTCTGAGATTATAGTAAGATTTCTGACTTTTTTCCCCACATTAAACTGAAATAATATTTAAAAATCAGTTAACTTTTGTTATTTTTTTCAGTGGCCATAATCCACTTCCTTTAGCTCTGATCTAGCTAGTTAAATTAGTTTTATAGGAGACTTTTTTTCTCTTTTCTTTACAACTGATCACTTCTGCTAGTTAAAATGGAGGCAAATTGCCAAATGGGAAATATATTTGGAATACACAGCAGACTTTAAAGAAGCTTGTTATAAACGAAAGCACCGTCCAAGGGAAAAGAAAAAATCACTCATCACCCTCTGCTGGTAAAACAGAGCTTTCAGTGGAAGTTCATTAAATTAGCAAGTTGCCCTAAAAGTAAACCAGTCTGTAAAGGATATGGCGTTAAACTAAGGTTTCTGCTAGCATCACTGAGATTTCAAATTACAAACTAGCTTCAATTTAAAATGTACTTACTTTGATGAACGATGCTTTACCAAAGAGCATGAAGTATTTGCTTGCTGTCCCCGCAGAGTGCAACTTCAGTTAAACTTTGGTGAAATAAGCCTGCTTTCACGAGACGTTATTAATGCTATTTTTTTCTTCTGTTTCCAAGCAACGGCTGGACCGTTATTTGTTGGTTACTTTCATGGCAGTTAGACAAAAGTTTGAATAAGTATAATAGGGCAACACTTTACTATTATTATTATCATGTGTTAACAACATAATAACTGATATTATCATTATTATAATGGAAATAATTCTATTAATAATGCTTGAAATATTATTACTATTATTACTGTTATAATATTGTCTATTTAATACGTTTTTAAAGGATTTAGATTCCTTTTTCTCTAATCTATTTTACGTTCATATTCTTAATATTAAAATAATTAATATTATTATTTTATTATAATGTAAAAGATTGAAGTGAAAATAAAAGTTTTTTAAAACGCATCCAAAGAGTTTCCGTAGTTTTGGGCGCTACCATTATAATAAGGGTATTCTTGTTATACGGGTCTGTTTCTGCTAGTTTTTATTTTATCAGTCTGAAACGAGTGATAAATGTTTAGTAAATTTTAGCTTATTGCAGAGATAAATTAACAAACTGGGACGTATAATGTGTCCATTTAGATATAGTCTTTTTTTTCCTCCAATACATTCCCAACTAACTGAAATGGTTTGATCCCAGAGGTACTAGGAAAGACCAGTAAAGAGAAATCAAGTCCGTGACAGCGGAGAAAACAGACTTGTATTAAACTACCTGCTGTTCAGAGGTCGGTAGCACTTTCAAGACTTTTCCTCACCTGAGCGTTCTGCTCTGTCTGACAGTAGCGACATGTTTTTCTGAGCTGTCAGAGTGACTGTATTGAAACTACTAAGATGACACTTTGCTAGTGATGGCTACGCTAGCGCTAGCTAGCTCCTAGCCGGCTAGCTGTTAGCTATCGCCTACCAATTGAATGGGGTTGAGCAGGAAGAAGCAATAGCATGTTAGCGAGAGGCTAGTTAGCCCTTAGCTCGCCATCCTATTCTGGGATTGTCATTCCGCTAGCGAGTAACCTTTGCTTAGCTACGTTTATAGTAACGCTAAGAGGGGCGTTTATCGACAGACGGTAACTTGTATTTATCTGAGACGAGTTATTTTAAGAAATAAATGGCTGCTACCAAAACGGTCATGACGTTGCAGTGTTATATTTTGACGTTAAATGAACTCATACAACAGAGGGCCTTCGTTTTAGGGCATGATGTAATGTGAGTTTTGTGGTACACACCTGAGACTTCATTGTGTTCTTGTGGGGGGAGCGTTGTTGCTGTGGTCTTGGTAGGCTCCTTACGGGAATGAATCTAAAAAAAAAAAGACCTTTTTGTAAACCCTAGCTTTAATAATAACGACTTGAACGGATGTTTCTAAGCCCAATAGACCTTAGACAAACCTTAGACATAGTTTCAGTATTTGCATTACTTTTTATTCTTTAATAAGGTAGTGTTTTTAAGCCCTATTCTTAGTCTTGGATAGGTCTCTAATATCATATTACCTCGGATTTAATGCCAGTAATATTGTCATAGTACTTTTTTTTTAGCACAAGGTTGATTCTATCTTATGGGTTTCCATCTGATGTATAAATAAAAGTGTTAATTTTGCCCTAATTCTCTGTTCTTTAGGTGAAAGACAAGCATACCATGTCTTTAAAGCCACGGGTGGTGGATTTCGACGAGACATGGAACAAGTTACTAACTACAATCAAGGCTGTTGTGATGCTGGACTACGTTGAAAGAGCCACTTGGAATGATAGGTTCTCGTATCCTTTATTGTAATGTTTAAAGGTGAAGGATAGGTATATTTGGTTACATTTTATTTTTACATACATATTGGAATCAGGCTTAAAGTTAATGTGGAGGATTTTAGCCAATTCTTTAATAGACCTGCCATTTCCACTTAAAAAAAAAAGCACAACCTTATGGAATGCCTATTAAACACGTGCGAGAGCATGCATTTAAAAGTTGCTGTTCTTTTAGTTCATTCAAGCTTACTGTGTCCGAAAATCCACCTTAAAAGAGTTCACTATAAGTGGACTTTATAGTGAACTCGG